AGGTTGGGCAATCCTACTTCCGTAGTGATACTGCCTCGGAAACCCAAGGAGGGGTCACTATGAGTCGGGGTCGACTCGACGGCACATAACAACAACAACAACAACAACATGGGACAGTTCTACTCTATCCTGTAGGGTTGCTTTGAGTTGGAATAGACTCAATGGCAATGGGAAGGAAAGGGTAGGGAATTTTTTTCCAGTGCACACAAAGATGCCATAGGGCTGGCTACAAGTCTCTTGGACCTTAATGATCAGCCTTAGGCATTTCATTTCTTAGGCATAATCTCTTTGCCCTCTAAGCATACTTGCTGTAGTACACCTCCACATCTACTTCAGTAATTCTTCAACCTCACTAAGACCCTGCACCATTTGAGCCTACTACTTTCTATCAGTCACCAATCCTCATGACTTACCCAGCTTAGATTCCATAGTTTATTGTTAAAATCACTGCTGTGCAAATACTCTCAACTGTGCCAGCCGTTTCTCCCTGTCTTGTATTTGTTCAGAAAGCCTCAACCCTGGTTAAACCCAACTCTGCCTACTCCATGCATGCTACTATGCAGCTCAGCTTCCATGGTCACTCCTTGGCAAAACTCCCAACTTCTTTGCCTCGCTCTCTCTGTTTTTCTTACTTTGCTGTTGTTGTTAGTTGCTGTTGAGTCAGCTCCAGCTTATGGTGACCTTATGTGTAACAGAACAAAATATTGCCCAGTCGTGCACCATCCTGACAGTCTGGTATATTTGAGCTCATTGCTGCAGCCACCATGTTAGTGCATCTCATTTAAGGTTACTCTCGTTTTCGCTGATCCTCTGCTTCACAAAGGCCCGATCATGCTTCTCCTGGAGCAGCTGAACTTTGCTAGAGAGAAACACAGAATTATCCTCATCTCCTTTTAAATTCATGACTCCACATTAAAAAAAAAAAATGTCTTTAACAGCTCCTAGAATCCTATTCTACTTCCTTATGATTTTTTTCAACTCTCCAAAAGGATTATTTCATACCCTGTCTTCTATTTTCAAATCCTTTTTACTGTCATCCCTCCTCCAATACTTACCCACTTGTCCATTATATTCGGCCTCACTGACTTTGCTTCTGTTTTCAAACAAGCCATGCTTGGCCCTGCCTTAGAATCTTTGCACACCCTTCCTCCAGATCTTTACATGTCTGGTTTCCTCTTGTCATTCAGTTCAAATGTCACCTCAGAAACACCTCTCCTCACAAATGAGGAAAGTAAGCTTAGAAGAAGTATATGTAGCCAGGGAGTGGCAAACACCAAGCTAGACCTCACATAGCACCTTCTCCCCGCAGTGGCCACTCAGTTTCACTTGGCCATTAATATATCAATCCAGTTTAAACTCTGTTTGTCATCATATCATTATCTGCTTCTGGTTTATTTATTTATCATTTCTGTTTTTCATTTATCTCCCAAACTCCCTGTACTCCCTAAGTACAGGAACCTTATGTGCATAGTTCACTTCCGTATTATTTTTAATCTATAATTAGACTCACCTAAATTGTGTGATAGGACCTTTAAAGATTTCGTTAGAAATGTTCATATGTACTGTTTCAGAGAAAATAGATACCAAGCAAAATGCCAAAATAGTTTCTCTCAGGTTTATTATTGTAACTGGAGGTACCAAATTGTGAAAATAAGTATTTCCACAGATTTTTCTTTTTTTAATTTTTATTGTGATTTGGGTGAAAGTTTACAGAGTAAATTCATTTTCCATACAGCAGTTCATACACATTTTGTCCTGTGACATTGACTGCAATTTCCCACAATGTAACAGCTCTCTTCCCACTTCCTCCCCATAGTTACCTCTTCCTTGTGTCCTTTTCTCCATGCATTCCTGACCCCCAAGCTGTCTCCCTGTGCATACACAGCCCTTCTGTTCTCCCATGATTGATCTCTCCAAGGAGTGGATCTACTTAATGTTAATGTTCAGCCCATATGCCTATCTGTTATTTGGCTGGAAGCCACAGGAGTATGTTCAATTCCAGACCCTGAAGAGTATTTAGGGGCCATAGTCTCAAGGAGCTCTGGTAGCATAGTGCCTAAGGCACTTGACTGCAACCAGAAGATTGGCGGTTCAAACCCACCATCCACTCCTCAGAAGGAAGATGGGGCAATCTACTTCTGTAGTGATACTGC